TTACCCCTCCTCCTCCCCTACTGCCTTCTACTTGTTCCCACTTCGATATGTAGCTGAGTGGTGCTTGAAGTAAATCACAAAGCTTGCTGTTGTGCAAATTTAACCATAAAAAAGTCATCGACGAGAAGAGTATCGCGAAAGGTCACAGCGTTTTGTTCGTTAATAACAGTATTTTAAGAACGGCTTCCAGTCCGCGAATAAATAAAGGCTCCAAAGTCCGAGTGGAATCTTCCTTCACAATGTCAAGCACAGATCAGCGATCGTAACCACACGGCAGAGGCGGCTGTTCAAATATTACACACTTGTGGTGCCCTGGCTCTCTTAGGGCCCTCCGTGATACTTTTGGCTATCCCCTCCCTCCTCCTCCACACACACACACACACACGCACGCACGCACGCACGCACACACGCACGCACGCACGCACGCACGCACGCACGCGCGCGCACACACACACACACACACACACACACACACACACACACACTCGTTTGTTCTGTTTCATGGGCTGAACCGTGAGTTTTGTGAAAATATTGTCTGGTTGGAAAGGCGACAGGGAAGGGAAAATGTCGGAAATTTGGATATAACCCCGGTTGTGAGGTAGTATATAAACGTTTTCAGTGGCAACAGTGTCTTCGTTATAGGCACCTTGGTTTCTTTTGTTCGCCTATTATTCTTCCTGTTATTTCTGTCAACCGTTTCGTTTTCTCTGTGGTACAAATGTGTGATTATTTGTGTTCCGTCGATCTTCTCTGTAAATGTTAAAAAGCAAAGACATTCTAACGTATTTGCAGGCATAAATTTATGGGAATGCGTGTTTAATTTTAAGTTCTTTGCTTACACGAGGAAACACGATTGTGTAATGGACGTACATGACTGTTTTCCTTGTCGATAGTGCCCGTGGAGCACAGACTTATTCTGTACAAGTGTGTCCTAGTAAGTAAAAGTAGATTACTATTTCCCCTTGGAGAGATTCAGGGCGCTGCGGAAACATTATTTCTGGGGAGGGGAGGGGGGGGGGGGGTGATCTAGTATTTCACTGTGCCAATTTCTAAGATAAAGAAAGTACGAAGAAAGTAAGCTAAGTGAAGATTTAGGAGAACAAAAGTTTAAAAAACCCAACTTATTTGTTCTAGAATGAGTTATGCAAATAAGAATGAAACGTTTCGAGATTGTTACGAATCAAATGCTTATCTGCTGAACAGGACTGGTCGTAAAGTGTACACGGAAACAGTTTGTGGGCATACTGGGCTGCTTTTTAAAGTTCTTTTTAATCGTTGGATTAAAAAAAACAACCAACAAAAGAAAAAAACAAAACAAACTAGTATGCTGTCCTTACACAGTTGAATTACGTCTGCCCGTTATACATGACCTATTTATGCACTGACAGCCTAGCATTGGCCCTTGAACGGATCTAGCCAAGTCCATCTGTGCTGCCTGTGTAACAAGCACAGGCTGTGCCAGAAGTAAGACTTAACGCTTGGCCCACCTGCTCTCGTTGCACACAAAGAATTATTTTTAACAGTACATTTCTTTTTAACGCGTCAGGACGTGGTGCGCTCCATGGCTGGGGTCCGGGTTTTGGGTTACACGTACGTACGTCAGACGTGTGCTCGGTTAAATGTTTACAAGGTATAACCTAAAAAAACACAAAAAAACAAGGGGAAATGGACAAAATATTGCCTGGTGGCAATACACTAGTTTGCGCAATACCTAACAGATTAAGCCTGTTGTGACGTCACAAAGTCCAGTCGTTTACGCTTGCTCGCGTGCCATAAATAAGAATTAAAATTTACACATAAAGGGGACCAAAGCAAGATTTCACAGCTGTCAACGAGGCAGTTAAGTTCCCTCTTTTATTTTAAGAAAATTCGAAATGAGTGTTTCCTGTAACGCGCCAAAGTTTTCAGTTGTATGATCCATCTGGCCCAAGTAGTCTCCCGTGTCTAGCTCTATGGTTTGACCAGGGGCACCTGAGCACCTGGAACAAGAGTGACTCAGTGACTTTGAATTAACGCATGTGCCATGAGTCTGGTAGTGGGATCTATTGTACACCCTGGGTCAGCTGATCGTGAGTGGAGGTTATGTCAGAGACAATGTAAAAGTGCTTTTGTAAGATGGTGAGGCAACTGCTCGAAAGTCAAAGGCATTTTTTGTTCTGATACTAGCGTGTTGTTTTAATATAAGTTTGAACGTTTTTTCCCCCTCTCAAAGGAAATAATGTGGAACAAAATGAATAGAATTAAGAAAGTTCGATCGCTTCTGCTGGAACATTGTGGAGGCACTGACAGACGTCTCGATTCGAATGTGAAAGATTTATTCCTTTTTAAGCTTTGCACTGGTTTTGTGAAAGTTTTAAGAGCTGTGGAAGTTCCGTTGCCTTTGTTCCTACTGCCCGCTGACAATGTGTAGCAGTCGCCATAAAACGGCAAATGCCGCTGTTGCCATCGATCATTTTGTAATTGGCCTTTATTGAACCAGTAGGCTAGTAAACCCGTCCACCAGCGGTGCTCTTTGTTCCTGTATTTGGTTAGAGCAAGTAGATCCCTCTCTCGTCCGCGGCTGTGGAGACATGGGCTGACCTGCGTCTCCGCACCAGACGTTCGCCGGACGCGCCTCTCACACGCGGCTACTCTCTTGTAGGAATTACGTTTGTATATAATCCGCCGCGGTCTATGGATGTTGGCTTTTAGCAGCTCCCTCGAAGTCGGGAATGATGATGAAACAGTGCTGGTGAAACTTTTTCCTCCCCTTTTTGTAATGTAGCTCGGAGTTTTGGCTTTAGTTAGAGGAAACAATTCTTGTGTGAATTATTGTTCAGTTTGTAGCGCCTTGTGTGAGGGTTTAGGTTGTTGTGGAGCAGACATTGTCATTCCTTTCAGTAACATTGCTCTAGTAGATGTGGGAATCTGCGTGGACGTTCAGATGCGGACAGATCAGATCGTTTCGTGTTTTCCCTTGTTAAAATGAACTCTTCCTCTAAGCGTCACTGACTAGAGTCTAGAGATTATTATCAGTTTAAGGTCATAGCTAGTGTAAAGTATCAGAGCCGTATATTTCATGGGGAAAGAAACGTTGTTTTATTGTGAATGTGCTCTCGTCTTACTTTGCCCTTCCTCCTTTTCATTTTTAGTTTTCATTGCGCTTAGTCCAGTACTGCTACTCATAATACAATCATACTTATCTGTTTAACCAACAAAAATAAAAACAGATAAAAGACGTTTTGGACATTGTCAATCTTCTTTGTGCTTTTTAACACTGGGCTCAGAATCTGAGGACGCTGTTTTTGTCGAACACCCAAAGAACGAGTCATCTGACGGTAAAAAACAGACAGTTGTCACGTAGGTTGATATTTTTGTGTGTGTGGCCTGTTCACTGTGAGGATGGGCATGGAGAGTGTAGAGATTTCTTCACCCGGTGATTGTGCTGGTGTCCAGTGTTAGGTGGGTCTGCCATGGGCTGCATGTGCTGAGCTGTGGGCGCCTCAGATTCCGCCATGATCTGTATGAAGGTGTTACGTCATGAGCTGCTGTCTCTGGGGGACCCCAGGGTCTCCAGGCCGCCGTCGCACCAACAGATACTACTGGTGCACAAAGCTGTAAGTCTCATTTTGGCAGGACGTGCTGGTCTCATCATGGGGTGTGGGGGACAAGGAAGAGAATGTAGGGGTCCGTTGTTTCACATCTTGCCATTTTCATGTTTTTTATTTGATGGTGTTAGAATTCTGGGGTGCTGGGTGTTATTTTTATTTTTTTTAAAAGATTATATACATACAAGTAAAAAATCTACCAACAAGTATGAAAAATAAGTAAAAATTTCAGCGTTATAATTATTCTTTCTTTTCTTCTTGTCTTTGAGTATTTCTGTGATCTTCCCTATCCTCAAGTTCTCGTTTTTTCAAACTCGGCGAATATTTAGAAATAGGGAATTTAAGAAGCTTCAAAAAGAACATGTAGATCTATATATATTATATAGATATGGGATTTGGTGGAGAGAGAGAGAGAGAGAGAGAGAGAGAGAGAGAGAGAGAGAGAGAGAGAGAGAGAGAGAGAGAGAGAGAGAGAGAGAGAGAGAGAGAGAGAGAGAGAGAGAGAGAGAGAGGAGGGGGAGGGAGGGAGGGAGGGAGGGAGGGAGGGAGGGAGAGAGAGAGAGAGAGAGAGAGAGAGTATTTGCTTTTATGTATGTTGATCTATGTGGTGTTTCAAAAGAACAGATATAAGGACATGTGCATTTGGCTATTGGGTTGACTAACTTCAAGTTTTCCTTGTTCTGCTTTGTTTTGTTTTGCGTATAGGTCACAGTGGTGACGTCTGTTCTATCTTTTTTTTTTGCGCTTCCTAAAATGTGTTTGATTGTATTGTGTATATTGTCCAATGATAGTGTGGTGTAGTGCTTAGTCTTTTTGCCTTAGACTCCAAAGATGTGAGTTTGAATCTCACTTGGAAAATATTTCGTCAGGTATCTCTGTCTTCCTGCTGGGAAGGTAGAATCCCATGTGGGTGGTTAGAGGGCGCCATTCTTTCCCTCTGTTGTTTCTTTTACCCTGCACAAATGGACTGTTACTGCGTCATTTTGCTTCTCTTTACTTAAAACACATGTTTGATGGGTCTTTCAGGATTCAAGTGACCTGCCCCCCTGTATGATCAGTTGCTGTGAATCATTGTCAGTCACCATCAAACTACTTACAAAGGGGCAGTTTCACACCCAAGTTTATAGATAATCTGTGATGGTTTCTTGTAGAAGTCCACTCTCCTCGGTATTCTTTTGGAAATTAAAAAGTAGTCTGAAAATTGAAATGTCTTTGTAAATGTATACCAGTGAAAATGGACTATTTTTATTCATTTTAAAGTAACTGCACATTTTAGATGTGTTAATGCAGCTGTCATTTTAATTTGAATGATGTTGTACAAGCCAATATTTTTGGTCTTTTTATATGTTAAATTTTACTTCGTGAAGCAGGAAGATAACTGTGTTAATAAAATCACTTGTTGTTTGTCCTCAGTCTCTGGCCGTTGGAGAGGATCCCAGTCTGAACACCCAGCACAAGCTTATAGCTGCCAGTGTGAACAACATCACCGGACAGGCTGGCGGTCAGCGTGTTGGTCAAACAGATAAGGCTGGCAGAGTGGCCAGCTGGGCTGTTCATGTGGACAAATTACTACAGGACCCAGTTGGCATTGAGATCTTTTCTGTAAGTTCTATTGAGAGTATTATTATGTTTTTTATTTTCATCTCTCTCGAATTGAAAGGGGGAAAAAGATAATTCAAACAATAATTTAAAAGTTCTGGATTTTCCTTTGAATATGAAAAACGTGTATTTCTTTAAAAAGTATTAACTTTAAAAAAAGGCTTTCTTAAAATTCAAGCACGTAACGTTTTCATTCAAAAGTTTATGATTTCATTTTAGCCTCTAAGTTTTACGATGCTCACCCTAACTTAAATCTGCCCGTTGCTGACTCCTTGCAGAAAAGTCTGACAATTCATTTGTTGATAGATCAGTGGTTTTTGTGTCGTGTCTTTTCAGGAAAATTCTTAAAGGAAGAGGTCTTTCTCTAGACCTCACAGAAAGAAAAAAGTTATGAATTTATAAGTGTATTTTTGCTGAAATTTTGTCATACTTTTTGAGTTATAAAATGTAATAAATTTGTGATAGTACCTGGATGAGATGAGAAGTTCTGTATTTTGAGATTGACCCCTGAACATAATGGTAAAGATGGAGGCTTTAGATACTAAAGAGGCACTTCCTGTATTATTTTGTCATATGGTATGAAGTATTTTTATTTTATCTATGTCTATTTAATTTAAATCTACTGTTGGCTACATTTTAAAAAATTGTTTCTTTTAAAGGAATTTTTGAGGAGAGAGTTCAGTGAAGAGAATATCCTGTTTTGGAAGGCTTGTGAGCAGTACCGTCAATTGACTGATGATTCTGTGGTGAGTTTTTTCTTCTCTTACTGTTACCTCTTGTTTTTCAATAGAAGGGCTTCAAAATGTATTGCTATCATGCTGAGGTAATGGTGTCGTAGTTGGAGTGATGTCAGTTGTAGTCGGTAGAATCAAAATGTGAGGTTTTTATGTGAATTTTTGTCTCGAAATTGGTGTTTCAGTGTGGTAGACAATTTAGTAGGCATTTAAAAAAACAATTCTTACAACTGGTAACCCTGTCTGTATGCGCTAGGGTCATTTTGTACCCCCGGGCTTGTATTCTTCACATTTTCAAATACTTCTAGTACGAAGGTCTCTTTGAAATTTTAAGTATTTCACAAAAAATCATTTTGACAGACTGCTATGCAAAGCGTACAGATCGGATTAACGAGTAAATTTCCTCTTTGGAAAGTGGTGGCACAGAGTTCCCTATGCCGTATGGATACGATAGTATAACACGACGTACGGATAGGGTTAATGTAAGGATAGCTGCTGACTGAAGCTGTTTCGTAAACTTGGCTATTTCACCAATGGGTTTGAATCTGAATGACGTTTGAAATGTTCTTGTTCTTCCTGGAATAATTTAACCTTCTTAAAATAACTTAATGTCTGATGAATTGTTTGTGTTTTGTTTTAATTTCCTTTTTTGTAAGTGTGTTATGGCGCTCGCAGCTGCATAAGGTCGTATGAGCGCGCTGGACACATTAAACATTTTAATTTGGTTGGAAATTTAAAATTTTGCCCAGGTGGTGGCTGAAGCCTACTCTTATTGATCTTATACCACCAAGAGATCTTTAACGTGCGCAACTTGCACACGAGGCCTCTGAGATTTTTCATCTTTATTCGAGAAGGCTAGGTGTGGATCTTTCCTACCAGAAGATCAGGGGTGTGGCTGAAAGACAGTAGTGAGAAGGAGCCAAGAGGAAGGGGGCAAAAGAGGTGAGGGGGTGGGGGCAGAAAGTGGTGACAAAAGCAGACGACAGAACATTGTTAGAGAGCAGGAAAGGAGGTGAAAGGAGACAATTTTAGTGGAGAAAATTTTTCTGTCGCTACCCGGATTCGAACCCGGGACCTTTGAACGAGCACCTGAACCTTTAGGCCATGAGAGCCCCCTGAATTTTCTTTGCCTTTTTTCTTTCATGTGTGCTGAGATATCTATTGTTAATTAATTGGTTGTTTTTAAGAGGAATTCAGTATCCCTTTTTTTCTGTGTGGCCACTTTTGAAAGGGTGGTGCTAATGTACCGGAGGCAGAAGGAAAGGAAAAGTGTAGTGTCAAGTGGCTCAGGTCTTTTCATGCTGGGGTAGCATAAAAAAGCTTTTCAGTGTATCTGTGTGTAAGCTGTAGAGGAGAACAATAGGCATATTGTACATTGGCTTGTACAAAGGTTTGTACTTGTAAATGTAAGCTGAGGTCACAGTTCATTCCAGTTCAACCCGCCAGCTTTGACTGTTCCACTCAGTCTGCAGATTAGGACTTGTTAAAGGTCAGCACTGGACTGTATGTTAATCTGTGAGCACAAATATTTGGCCTCGGCAGGATTGTTTCCCCTAGGAGGCTTAGTCTCCCTTGGTTGGTTGTTCTTTTCTGCTGGGTTAATCTCATCAAAGCTGTGGAACAGCTGAGCAAATCACTGGTGGCAGGTCAAGGTGTTGGTGAGAGCATTGGGTAATGTGATCACACAGACTTTTGTACTGAAGGGCTTTTACAGGGTTGTGTTAAAAGGACAGCAAGCAGCCCCACGAAAGCTGTTGTCTTCATATCCCCCTTCTTCTTACTCATAGGAACTAAAACTGGTACATAAAAGAATAAAAAGGTTGATGAACTTGTCTGACATGCAGATGTTTAAGGTCTGGGGCTGAGAAGGATTGGGAACTTTTTTATCTTTTTTATAATATTGTTCTCTGTTGTCCCAATGTCCCTATGAGGGACCCAGGGCACCGCATAGAAACTATCTTAATAGAGTGTATAGTGGTCAAAGAGTATGCGGTAGAGTCTTCATACTGCTTGGTTATAAAAGAACCCACGAAAAATTTCCTTTTGGGATTTGAGACACAAAGTCAGACAGTTACATTTCTTCTACATGGACAAAGAGTCAGAAATGCATAATGTCGACCAGCTGTCCAGATGTGCTAAGCCCAATATTTTGAAAAAAAATCTTTATCGTAGTTGCTTTATCTGTGGTATTAGGTACATGTGCCCAAAAATTATTTTGTTGAAATTCAAACTCAAATGCTAAAAAAAGCAAGTAAAGATGCATAGTATAAATATATTTGTTAAAAGAATGAAACTATTTTTTGTTGCTCCTGAAAAAATTTGCTTTCTGGGCTTAAAACAGCTGAGCAGCTTGCTGACATAATGTGGACACATTAACAGAAATGTTTCCAGAAGTGAGTACAAGCTAGATTTCAAGCTTCCTGGCCACTGTTGCATGTTTTTTTTGTTGTTGTTGTTCATTTTCTTCTGATTTAAAATGTAAAAAGAAAAAAAAGAAAGAGATCTCTGGTTTTCCTCTTTTCAGCGCAAAGCTCAGGCCATGGACGTCTACAATCGCTTCTTGTCTGCTAAGGCTGATGATCCTGTGAATGTGGATGGTGCAGCCCGCTCTTACACTGAGAAGTTTCTGGACAACCCCACAGCCATCATGTTTGATGTTGCACAACAACAGGTACGTTGATAATCACAGTCGTCTGGGTGGCATGGAAAGTGGATCTGACTTTTATTACAGAAGTACTTCAGTTAATTGTGATGTGAGGACTTCAATGTTTGCTTTTTAGTGTGTTAAATAAGTTGTTAGATTTTTATATAGTCAGAGGGTATTTCGTAGACTAAAAATATTTGTAAAAGCTTCAATTTTTACATTACCCTTTTTAGTGTGCATTGGTGTCAAATTGCTCTTTTTCCCATGATGGTGGTTAGCAGGCATTCTATGGTCTGGTTTGTCTTTTTTCCTGTTTTGCTTTTGCTGTCATTTGATTGAGTGGAATGTAATCCGTTTCATACATATTTGTCATAAAACTATAACTTGACAACTCTTATCTGGAGTGAACAAAGAGATAACAGTTATCTACTACTCCTGTTTGTTTTCAGAACTGAGTCAATAAATGTGATATTTTTACAGATCTACCAGCTCATGCGCCAGGACAGTTATGCCAGATTCATCAAGTCCGATCTGTACAAGAACAAGTTGATGGAGGAAATGGAAGGTAGACCATTGCAAGGCCAGAGTGGAGACAGGCAGCCAGAGGAAAAAGGAGGAAAGAAAAAGGTGATTACTTTTTTAAAGCTAGTTTTTGTCACCCTGATATTTCTGCTAGTTTTTACTGGAGTTTGTTACAGGACACGCTTTTCTCCGCCTGGTTTATAAAAATAATTAACAAAAGTATGATAAAGAATAATTTTAAGTTGTACTGTCAGGTTTTTGCTACATGTGAAGTTTCAGAGATGGGAGCCTGTGGGTCACATATTTTTATTGCTTATTTTTGTGATTTCGTTGAAAGTATTTTACTGTACGGAAATATGTAGATGGTTTATGGGTGCTGTGGTGTAGTCTGTTCCTTCTTCATTTTTTACATTATTGTTGTCTCCATCCTTTTTCCAGTGAAATGTAGTTATTGTTGTGCTGATTGTTCCTAAACAACAAACTTATTTTTGTTATGTTTAAGATACATGATGGGTATGTTTTGAGTTATTTGGCCTTTGTTTGGTTTGGGATGGATGATTCTGAGGCAGTGTGTATAGATTGTTACTCCCTTTTATAGGTGGTGGTGTGGCAGCTGACACAGCAGCCAAGTATAGAAAGTCTTGTCTGTATCAAGAGCTTGTAATGTACCTGTAATGAGGATGAGAAGACTATAGATCTATATTGTTAGAGGCATAGACCTTTGGCGAGTAGGGAAGAGATTTAATCTTTAACACTTTGCCGCCTCATCTCGCCGATTGGCAATGTTTACCACCCAGTTTCTTTGGATTTTCCCCAAAATATGATGGCAAAGCGTTAAGGGATATGAGTCGATATTTTTTCCTTTGCCTTGCTTTCTTTGGGTGAATTAAATTACGTGCATATGACACCGGGATGGGCTGTGAAAGCTGAGTTTGTCGTAGTCATCTCGGCCTAAAGAAAAAGAAATGTGACACATTTGCCTAGTAGATGTTGGATCTTTCTCTTTTAAAACTGAGCATGAAACATTGCTTTTACAACATGTGAAACATATTTTGATGAAATGTTGTAGAAAGATTTCTGTAGACTATCTTAGTTTCTATAGTTTTTACAGTCATGAAAGTGGGTTTTTTTCTTTCTTTTTAACAGGTGAAAGGAAAAGAAAATGAAGACAAGAGGAGGCGATCTATACTTCCTTGGAGACAACGTAAGTGGAACTTGGAAGTAATGTCTTGCTGTAGTCTTGGTTGTATGAAGATTCTCTTCATTAATAATGTCAGATATCAATACTGTGCTCTTGACTTTTGTCTCTAGGTACAGGTTGTTACTGTACCCACTACTCTGAAGCTATCTAAAAATTCTGGTATGTTCAATATACTGAAAAGGATGTGTTACATTACCTTGTGTTGTCACAAATTCTGTAGAAACTTATAGTCAAGAGTGTCCAAGACTACTACCCATTGTTTAAGAGAAAAGTGGATGTCTTGAACATTGTCATTATATTAAAAACATGCAAGGGGTGAGTTGAAGTGGTCATTTGTACAGCCGGAGAGGTGGCCGTTAGGGCAGGTTTGAATGTACTTGGATAAGACATAAGACGTATTTGAATTGACCAATATTTATCACTCATTCACTTCATAAGTTTTTCCTCTGCCATATATTGGCTGTTACAGTGTGCAAAGCACAATGTGTGAATGAAAGTCTGAGTAAGTTTTGTGTTTGCATTCTGTGGACAGACAAGAAAAGTTCGATGAAGTCCACATCAGATCCGGAGCTGAAAGGGTTGGGCAAGAAAAGCAACAAGGAGGATAAAGAAAAAGACAAAGACAAAGACAAAGACAAAGACTCCAGCTCCAGCCACAATGTCAGCCTGGCCAGTGGCAGCAGTAATGGAGTTGTCACCGTCACCACCAGTGTCAACAACAATGGCAGCAACAATAACAACAACCTTGTCATGAATCTGAAGAAAGCTCCAGGGCCTGGCATTGACCTTAGCACCATGAGAAAAGAAGTTTTCCATCCGAAAGAGGTATGCTGTTCGTTGTGACTTTTTGGGTAAATGCTGACCGATGAGGCTTGGCTTTTCCATTTTCAGATATTTAGAGGTATGAAATCTTTACTAATGGTGTAAAAAAAACTTTTTTACCGATTACAGTCTGTGTGACTCCTGAATGTGACAGTAGGTTTAGGTTTTACTATTTGGAGCTTTGATTCTTTGTAGATTTTTGTCTATGAGTTTGAGAGGAAATGTGTGCAGTTTTTTTTGTTTTCGTATTTGTCTGTGATTTTTTTCTGTCCTTGAAGTTTTGCCATGCCTAGAATGAACCACCACTTTTGTTGTACTTTTTTGGTGGGTATTTATCAATACCAAAAAATTGTAGTGTGAATATTGTTTGTGACAATGTTTCTAAAAAAATATATTTGTCTGCACAGACCAGCAGAGATGCCCCAGCATCACACTTCAAATTCTGTCGAATTATCATGCCGGACGGTTCATCCACGGTGGTGTGCGCTAAACCAGGCCAGACTTCTCGCTCGGTCCTGACCAAGCTGTGTGAGAAACGCTCTGTCTCCCTGGCTTCAACAGATGTCTTCATCTTAGGAACGGAAACGGTGAGATAGGTTGTGGCCAATCTTCTGATATTGATGCAGTTCTTTTCTCACTCCGTCATCTGGTGCCCCATTCAGATGAAAATGAAGCTTACGATGGATTTTAAAGGGAAGAAAATTACAAAAAATTGTCTGTGATTTCAAGGATATAGTGGGGATGTGAAATGGGGAGTCTTTAGGTCTACATTTTTCTACATTCTCAAATTTAGGAGAAGTGTTATTTTATAAGTTATAGGTATAGGTTTTTTTTTTTACTGTTCACTAATTGTCATTGTGCATGTAGGAAACCATATACTCCTCTCCTGTTTGTTGATGATTTCAGCAAGGTTTTTCCTAGTTCTCTGTCTATTTATTGTTGTCTGAATTTTGGGGTTTTAGTGGGTTTGTTTTTCATCCCCTCAGTTTCCTTGTATTCACTCATTTGTGAGTATTATCATCAATGGAATAAAATTTATAAAGGTCCTACTTTTTCTTTTAAAAATTGAGCTGGAATTCTAGGATTATGGGATTGTCTGTCTTTTAATGGTAAGCAAGATTACGTTATCTTTGATCTGTTGCTGGTAATTCTGTATGTTCCTGACAGATTACTATATCTGTGTAGCATCCCTAAACAATGTTTTAATTTAATTAGAACATTTAGCTGAAGAGCTAGAGATAAAGTGTGTACATGCCTTTAAGAGTTTGAATGTTGCTTTATTTCCTGGTAATGGCTTCTTTGTGTTCTCCCTGAAAAGTTGTTGAAAACGCTCAGTGACAGGTTTTGATGATGTACATTTAGTTTCTGTGCAACAAATTTCAAGGTTTTTCTACTCACCAATGATTCATGTGTGCTGGGTTGGAACAAGGCTTTGGGGGGTTGTATTTATTCAAATGATTAACGTCTTGAACAAGTTGAATACTCTTTGCCCTTGGACAGATTGACTCACATCATCCAAATGTGTAAGCAAGCTCAGCAACATATGAATATAAAAAGTTCGCTTATCAGTTGGACATGTCCATGAAATTTGCTGTTTTGACTTATTATGAACCCTTTCTGTTTCCCTCTGTCAGCCCTTGGACCTCGGCGAGGACATCTCTACCCTGGGCTCAAAGGAAATTTTGATAGAGAGGAGAGTGCTCTTTCGTTTAGACCTGCCCAGTGGCAAGTCCATAGGGGTGAAGGCCAAGCCCAACAGAAGTATTAGAGATGTGTTCAAGCCCATTTTACAGAAATATGGACATCGTATAGAGAACATCACTATTCACTTGGTAAGAAACGCTGTCACTTTGAGAATGTATGTTAATTTGTTATGTCAGCATTGACAATGGTGATAGAATAATGTGAATAAGGTTGTTAGTTACGACTTTGTTCTCATTTCTGTTCTTTGAGTCTTTTGCAGTTCATGTGTTTGCCCATTTCCCCAAATGAAATTATCATTATGGTAATGTTAATTTTTCTAACCCTAAACACTTGAAGTTTGTTCAAACTCTGCCAATGTGATTGTGTAGTATTCAGTGGTTTCAAGTGGCCAATAGATTTGTCTCTCTGGAGCATGCCAAACTTGAACAACATTCATTCTCAAAACTGAGAACTTTTCAGATAAAGGTCTCATTTCTGACTTATTTGTTTACAGATTGTGTTTGTGTTCGTGTCTCACAAAACTCATTAAAAAGAACTGGTTATGAAATTGAGAGTAACCTTTTTGTATTATTGTAGATGGACTCTGTCCAGCCACTGGACCTTGAGCTGCAGGTTTCTGAGCTGGACAACAAGCGAGCTGTGGTAGTGGAAGATGGTGCTGTCACAGGTAGGTGCTTTTTTGATGATTTCTATAATATCTCAGCCCCCTCTGTCTTGGCAGATGCTTATAGTCGAATTCTTTCGTTAAATGTTGTGAAAACTAACAATTTATTTATCACTATATTATGATGTTTATCATAATCTTTTGTCATCCGCTGAGTATTATTAATGATTATACTTTGCTTCATGCACATAGAGGCTGTAATGTTACTGTTGTATTTACTTAAAGATTAACTAATGCCTACATGGTTAGTCTGCCAAACTTTTGGTAAAGTTTAGTGTCTTGTGAATCAAGAAACAAAGCTTAAAATAACTCTCACAAAAATTCAAAGTTCACTCAGAAAGTTGCTTGATAACTGCACCTCTGCTTACCTGTATGCAAGAACTGCCAGTAAAGACCCCCCATCCCCTTTACTTTTAGAGTGTGACAGTGCCTTCTTAGGTATTGTAATGTGAATGATGTTGTTTGTAGAAGTTGTTTTTTTGTGTGGTATAGTTGAAGACTGGTTAGATGCTTTGTCTCTTTTTGTTCTTGCGTTAGTAGGTTTTATGATTTTTCAAGCTTTGACAAATGTTTTGAGAAATTATGAGTAAAGTAAGATGAGCTGCAGAAATTATTTGCTTATGAAACATTATAATCTTTTCGTTAAGTTACAATTTTAACGAAACAGTATTATTTTTTTTATTTTGAGAAAGTCACCATTTCATTTACCTTTTCACAAAAAGATGTATGCTTTTAGCTTCTGTAAATATCTTTTCATCAATGCTTTCTGTGTGAAAGAGTGAGTTCTATTATTTGGCATTTAGTTGAGTCCCAATGCATAAATAAGCTTTTCTGATAGCTCACAAAGGCATGAGCATGTCCCACCTGGCATGCTGAATGATTGATGTTTGTCACCACTAACCTCTCCAGCTTTCACTAATCTCCTTGCATCATCATTTTCATTTGTGCATATTACTATCTCATGCACTCTTTTTTTACTGTTTCATTTGAGATCAGCCCCCTTGATTCTGCACATTCTTTTATAGATTATCATTCACAGCTTACTCATTTTAAGCACTGCGATATCCTTCTTTGAATGACTGTTAACAGCTAATCTACTTCAACATTTTTCAATCAGTTTGTATGTTGCCAATCATTTGTTTTATAGTATTCAATAGCTTGCTTTTATAAATTAAAATTCATTTTTCTTGTAATTGACAAATGTTTTAAAAATTAGATAATGTACACACATAATACTGTTCTTGTAAATTCACAGTGAATAGAGAAATTGAAGTATTAGAATTGAATCTGAGTAAGATGTTAATCTGAACAGGTATCAATCACCCCAATTGTCTCTCATTGCATGTTCTTTTCTGTTTTCAAACTGACTTTGTCATCATCATTTGGTACCCTGAAGGGGTCCTTCAATCATTGATGATTTGTACTCTGTATGTAATTTCATTGACCCTTATCTTTTCAATGTAAGGCTGAAATTTGCTTATGATATTTCTGGGATGCTGGTACACAGCAGAAACATTACTACTGTGGTTTGTGGAACTCAACTGTCAGGGAACTATCAAAACTGCTTCTCCTACTTCCTTAAAGTGACACTAAATGGTCTACTCCTTGTGAAATATGCTCTTTGTCATGCAGCGTGCAGTAAATTGCAGTTCAAGGATAACTCTACAAATGATCTAATCCTAGAGCTCCCCGTTAAATATGTGGGGTCAGTTGATGTATGTTTCCATCATGTCAGTAGTTCTAATTTTAAAAAAGTACCCCTCCAGTGACACTGTTACTATTCATTTTGAAAAGTGTGCTATATAAATGAATCATATTTTTCAAATGACAGGAATCCAATGGAATTTTAGCTTGTTCATTTTCTTCTGACCGTGTTAGAAAAAATTCTAGCTCGTTTATTAATTTACCTATGCCCATGGAACTGTGTATGGCACTTCTGAAGGCCAGTGACCAAGCAAAAATATTGAAAAAAAATCTTGATCCAGTAATAAAATCGTTTTTCTCTTTAGGCCCTAGATCTATATTAAAAACTTCTCCTTGGATAAAAACATAAGATCACTAAAATAAATTACATACAATGACCTTGCCTACAAATTGCTCATTTTGAGGCAGCCACACCACCCTGTTCCCTCGTTTCAGTGTAAGCTTGTAGATTTCACCCCCCACCTCCCACTGTCTAGATGTCTCCACGTGAGTTTCGAAAATTGCTTGCCCCCGTTTCTTGAATCGCATTTCTTGGGCGTACATTAGAGTGTGGTGCAGAGAAAAATATGTTACCTTTTTAATGTTTTTAGTATATGCTGTAAATCCCCTATTATTTTTTTGGACCCACTTTAGGCTTGCATCAAAGAAAATGTATCGGATCCTTAGTTTGCAGTGACTTTTATGAATGGGCTTTTAGATTTTGTTGGTTATCCGACATTTAGAATGCAAAGAATTGAAAAGATTAAACAGAGCGGTTTCATTTTAAAAATCTTGTTTTAACCAGGCCAGACGGAAGTGAACAAGCTATGGTTGGATCAGGTGTAGCATGGGCAGAATTTGTTGTGTTATGAACAGCCTTGCATTGTTGGAAAGAGGGTGTCTTGTAACTGAAGTCGTTTGACTAACCTAGCATGCGTTGAGTTATTATCGCATCTTTTTGTTGTTGTATTTTGTTCTAACAGAGGTCTCCAAGCCAGGTGGCCCGCTACGCTCGGCCCGTACCCCACGGGCCTCGTCAGCTGCTGGCCGGGCAAAGGGGGGCCACCCTGCATCTAGCAGGGGCTCCCTGGAGGAGATAACCAATCAAATATTTGAGGACTTAATGAGAGGGAAAAGCCAGGTGGCCCATGGCTTTGACGAGCTTGGGGTTCTGGAATTAGACAAAAGCAAGGTAGGGGGCTCTTGAGCCTTGCTGGCAGTTAAGTAGAATGCTTCGGAGAGAGGGTAGTCTTGCAAGCTGCAACACTTATGACTGTAAGACAATTTAAAATGTCTTAGTGTTCACAGATATTTTATTTCGTTCAGATCTTTATTCTTATCTTCGAAATAATTTGAGTCTGTGCTTTATGCTCCTCATGTATTGCAACTGTATACTTTGTATTGCGAGCTCAAGCTAAACATTTCCCTATAATAGCTACAAAAGATATGCACTGTAGTCAATATTATGCTCTTCTTGCTTGATAAAGACACCCCCCCCAACGCAACATATCCATTGTAATGTGGTAATATCGTACTCTGAAAGTAACAACATACTGATGCTGGTTTAAGTTGCAAGTCACATATTGGCTTTTGAATAAGTAAAGCTGCTATGAATGTGAATTGAGACTTACACCAATCATATAATGTACCCATCATTATATAATAATTCACCCAATATACATGACTCATTGGCAAACAAGGAGAATATCTGTGTGCCTCAAGTTTCAAAGGCCCAAATTTACAATTTTTCAAATCCATGTTGTATGTAAACAATTTCGTGAGTAGAAGTATTATTTACTTATACAGCATCAAATGGTTGAAACTGATTCTCTTCAACTGTATTTTATCTGGGGGTTTTTTAAGAAGAAAAATGTTAACATATTTCAACTAAGAAATCCCTTTATGAGTGGGTTAAGCTAAGGACTTAAAATGTGTATGCCTAAAAGTTTATAGTGGGTTGTTGTTTCAGAAAATTCACCACAGTTAAAATTTATTGACATGGGAGAATGTATAACATCCATCTGTCATAAGCTAATAGATCTAGCATTTCTGAGCTTACAACACTTGTTTTTGTTTCAGATTCTCTGAAAAGTATGAGAGTTATATATACAAATCAATTGATACATTTGTTTAAATGATGTGGTTAGTGCAAGTTAGTCTTATTAAGATGTCAAGGGGTGTCGTAAAATACAGTTAATTCTGTTTCTATATTTCCTTTCGTGCCCAAGTTGTTGTTATTTTCTGGGCATCCCCTATTTTTAAAAATTTTATTATACCTTCAGGGTGAAAAAGAAGTAATGACCTCTGTGCTTGTGGCAAGATGCTCAAAATGTGACAGTTTCTTGTAGGGAAAACATTCTTCCTCAAAAGTTTTTGAGCTCCTATCTGGAGTTTTCTGTGGCTCTTATTGTTTTCATGTGAAATAATATGAATGTTATTTTCATATGAAAATATGGCAAAAGATGTTAACGTTTCACTTTTCACATTGTCATGAAAAATATTCAACATAATAACCTGCGCAAGCAAAGACTTGGTCTGTTTCTTTCATAGTTTTAGAGATTTTAACCACTTGAAAATGCTATCTTCTCAGTTTAGATTTTTGGCTGGTCTTATTTGGCAATGAGTCGTGTGTATTTATGTGTACTAATATATATCTATATTTACATTAGCCCCTTGAAAGGTATTATATGCCAGTCTTAAGGTTATTGCAGCTGTGATTGATTTGTATAAAGTCAATTGTTGTCCAGTCATGTATCTGTGGAATATGTGTTTTATATTGACTGCAGATGAAATGTTTACCTGATATGTACCCAAGTGACTTTGTTGATGCATGCACAGCTTTTCTGAATGTTTGTTGAGAATGGATGGAGATTGTTGACACTTACCACTGGTGGAGGGATGTCAGTGAATTATAACCTCTGTTCAGCCATGTACAATAGGCTGCTAGAAGTCTCATTATTAAGTTAACCTGCCATGTGTCCTTTAGTTTCTTATATTTCAGACAAGTAAAATATTTTTTTTTTATCTCACAATAGTTCTGTTTTAGAAAAAACCCTGTCTTTAAGTTAGTTTCCTACTTTCATCTCCACTAAAGACCCATGCTGCTAATGTCTTAATTTGGACCTGTCTTTCTTTTTTCTTCAGAATTGTGCTTGATTTGAAGATTTTTTTGGTTTGAAGACTCTTTTTTTTTCCATCTACTTTTGACATAGCTGTCCCTTTCTGGAGTCTTCTTGTTCAATGCTTTAGGGACCGTTCTTGTGTCATTATTCTTCCGTAGAATTAAAAGATCCCAGCATTTACTTTGCAGAACATCAAGCTGAATAAAATGAACTCTCGACTTATTAGCTGCACGCTTTTAGAAATGTGCTTTAGTATTTTAATTTAGTTGTAAACATTTGTTAATGAATGCCTTATAAAAAGATCTTACCAACCTTGTGCACATTGCTGCTCACACAGGGTTGAGGATTTTTTCTTGTTTGCCATGCATGTTTTGTCATAAAGCCTGGGCACCTCTGTTCTTCAGGGAGATGAATGATATTGAATGATATATTTGCAGCACCAACTACCTAAGTGTAATTTTGTACGCTTGGAAATGTTTTGTATCTATAATAACCTTTTATAAACCTTTATTCAGGGTCACAAAAACGAAGAGGTGCGTTCTTCGGGCTTATTCGCCCTTCTGAGAAGAGAGTCAGTGGGGCAAAAAGACAACCGCAAGGGCAACAAGACGAAGAGCAAGGTTACGTTTACTCTGCCCAGTAGCGAGAATCGGAGGACAAGTAGCAGTGTTGAAGAGGGTAGGTTTAGGGCAAGACGTCCTTTGTAGATTTGTCTGTCTCTTATTTTTCAATGACGGGACAAACTCATGTGATCATGCTGGGGTAGGCTGTCGTACCCCAAATTTTGTCTTCCATGTCCATGGGTGGTTAATTGACGCTCTGTTATTGTTCCCTTCTGTTACTTTTTTTGCTTTTTACGATTGATGACATTTGGTCTAAAGGGGGCCTATCTTTAATTTTGGAGGACAAAAATGGGTAGTTGTATCATGTGGGGCTACAGTCTATTGAATTCAATAAAAATAGTTTTTTTGGTGTGTTTTTCATTGAATTTATTCCAGTGGAATTATGCCTCCTGTTAGAGCTTACCCCCTTAAGTAAAATTGTCTTTTTTCTTCTTAGGGGAATGTGAACTATTACATTGACATGCTGTAAATTGCAGCTCTACCCAGTTCAAGTCCAGTTGGAAACCTCCATGTTCAGCCACTGATAGCCTTGTATTTTCTTATGATCTCAGAACAGGAGCTAGTTTATTCTTTGCTGAAAGATCACATTTTAAAATATTTTTTTTTGGGGGGGGCGGGTTGTTGTACTTGAAAGAGAGTGGTCAAAATATTGGGTATTCTGATGGTTATCAGTGACACCATTGGTCTTTGTGTTAGTGTAGGCAGTTTTTTGTTTTGTTACTTGGTTTATAACATGAGGTGTTATCTTTATAAGTATTTCAATTATAAATCATTCGACAATGAAAGTCCTAATGTTTATCAGTTCAACACTTCTGGGGGTTTTTTGTGTTAAAAAAGAAAATTAAAAATAAGATAAACGTTATCAACTGAGCTGGTGACTGTCTAAGCTCAAAGTTTACCTCAAACTTTTTAGGCTCACTGTCCCAAGTCAGATTTTTACTCTTGTTCAAGATTAACAGTTCTCTAACTGTGTATTGTTAGTTGCTTTGGGAGTTCAGCTTGTAAGTCTTACTACATTATCAGACCCTTTGTATTAATTCAGAATCAAACAGCTGGCCTGAAAATGTTGCATAAGTTCCAATCCCTGAAGAAATAAAAAGAGAAAATGTTCAGTCTTGTAGTATGGCACATGGATAGTCTCGGTCACTAATGACACAGTGACTCTTCTTTTTGATAACTTTTGTATCTCTTCTTGCAGATGAACGGTTGTTTGAGATGCTGTCTAATGCTCAGAGGATGCGACTGGAGGAGCAGCGGGGTGTCCACATCTCTACAGGTGACCTGCCCTCATTTCTGTGCCAGGACCACCGGGACAATGAACGCCACATGGACGCAGTGGAGGAGGTTTTCCTTCATGGATCTGGCACATCGCACCCAAATGTTTCCAGCATTATTGACAGTGCAGATAGAAAGTCTAAAGTGGACGTTGTTGATGGGAGCCGGCCTTCCTCCACGTCTTCTTTGCCTACTAAACCTGATCAGAGCTTGGTCACGCCCATTGACAGCAAAAAGACACGCCCCCTCAGTACACCAGCTTCTGATAAGTGGAAAGGTCACCCTGACCGTGGATTTAGTCAGAACGGTATCATTCCATCTCCTAGGGTAGCTACGGAGCTCTTCAGAATGTCTCCTGTGGTGGTAGACGCTAAGAACAACACAGTGGCACAGTCCCATGACGCTACAACCTCCATGGCTCGGCATCCCTCTACAGCCCAGTCTTTTGATAACACAGAGACTTCCCAGAGAAGGACAGACAGCAGTAGACTAGCAGGCAACTTGGCCTGTCACTTCTCTGATTCCCATTCATTTCGCCCACTGCACAGATATGGCAATGCAGTCAAAGCTCCTGTTGTATCGCCAGAAAAGTTTTCTCCTGAGAGCAAGAAGTTGAGGAGCAGTCCAGATACTCAGAACATTTTGTTACCCAACAAAGTCTCTCCTAACACTCGGTCGTCTTCAACATCTTCTAGTGTGTCTTCGGGGAACAATCAGAACTCCAGGGTGTCACCCAATGTTGGGACTTCCCCTAGTGCAGTGTCGTCAGCACCACAGGGAAAAACTGTCCACCGTCTTTCAGACACAATGCTGGTGCAAAAACTACAGCAAGCATGGAAGGAGAAGGAGAACAGACAGGTGGGTTCTGTCAACCAAAGGAACCAAGAGTCTGGTGCTTTTCAGAATGGTAAAGGTATTCATATGAGAAAATCTGTGTCGGAAGTTGAAGGGCAATTGTTCACCAAAGTGCAAGCTAGTGCTAGGAGGGCTGGTCCCAACGGTGCGGCTGCTCCGCAGTACAATGACTTAGCACAAAGAGCGCTTCTTTCTCCAAGATTTGACCAAAGCTCTCCGCAGCAAAGACATTTTGCTCAAGTGTCTGGACGTACATCTCCCTCTCAGGGTGCCACAGCACGAGCAGTCCTGTCACCTCGTCAGCAACATCATCCTATGGCAAAGCATTCAGACTCCACACCGCAGCGATCTAGTAGGACTTCACCTCGGATGTCGCCCACAGCTGTCGCCGCTCAGATGGCGTTGATCTCTCCTAGATACTCTATGGTCACCACAAGTGCTACGTTGGCTGGACCGACACAGACACTTTCATCGTTTGCTCCGCCTACTGTCAGCCACAGAGATCCCCCAATTGTTGCTGGGACTCCAAGAAATGGGGGTCCCTCCCCCCACATTCACAACCACCACCCTCCCTACAGAGCACCTCCTGCCTATGCTGGTGGGGAGGCTGCTGAGGAAACTGTGACTTTTGTATGACCTTGCTCTAGACACATTATTATATTGCAATTGCTAGACTTGATGGGATAGCTCTCCCAGATGTAAAAATGTAAAAATTATCAATTTTCTACCAAATGCTTTTAAGAACTTACAACGATCCCTTAGACATCGTCTATGGAAGGAGTATATTTTTTAAACTTTGTATGGGATTGGCTTGAAGAAGAGTATGATTGTTGTAAATATTTTTTTTCTTGAGATGCTGCAAGAAATAGTAGAAACACAGCGTAAGGACTGATACAGTTACGCTTCATAAAATCTTTTTAGCGACAGGTTTTTAAAAAAAAAGCAAGCTTTACATCTCTATTTTTATGATTTTTCTTTTTTAAACAGTGAAACAGTTTTATACTTATTTTATCAGACTGTTATATTTCAGGACCAAGGATGAAAGGATTTTGGCAAGTTCTGTTTTTTGTAACATTGTTGTCGATAGTAAGTTTCTAATGGACAGTCTTGTTTTGCTTACGTGAACCATAATCTCATTCTCTGAACATTTTTACATTTTTAGATTATGAATTATTATCACCAAATGAGTTGTGCTGAGTCCCAATTTTAAGCACATTTTGTAAAATACAGCTTTATTGTGCAGCTTTTTTAAGCAGACTCCTGTCTCAGTATATCTGGTCCTTTGCTTGATGCTACAGATGAAATATCAGTGCCCAGAGCTGGTGTCTAATGAACAGTCGTTTCAGCATCTTTCTTCCTATAATGGTTGTATCACTGATTGACACTTACAGTAGACGGTTTTTGAAAAATATTTTATATTGAAGTGCATTTTTAACTTACGTCTTTTGTGTTGTCTCTTATTTTTCAGCAAATTTCTGTGTCCCTTGTTGGGTGTAATTATTTATCTAATTGATGGCCATGGGAGTTGATATTTCATGTATATATTGAAACTTTAAAAATGTGTTATTCACATATACAGATATTTATATATTTTTAAAATAGTCACTTTTTCTCTTCAAGTTATTACTTCTGTCCCACCATGCATCCTGCTTCAAATCATGTTGTGTAGTTGTGATGTTGTCTTAGTAAGTTTGCCAGCTACAATGCTCCACAGACTTCTCTGTTTTCCTTGAAAAGTGTTGTGAGTGAATTTGGTTTTTATTGATGGCAATGGGCAATGTTCATTGTTGTGATGTCCATTGCCTCATAAATATATTGATTTTATTCGGCATTTGTAAATGCTTGTGCCAGTCATAACTTGCAGGGTGGGTGGTTGGTGGGTGCTCTGGTTTGGTTTACTCCTTATTTCCTATCAAACATCTATCGTCCTGTTCTTTTCTTCTTTTTTTGTGTTTGTTACTCTCTTGTAACACCTCTAATCTTCGGCATTTTTTCCTTATTGTGTTGCAAGTGCGGTAAAACTCTTACTAAAATAAAATTTGCAGGGAGCAGGGGATTGAACATGGGGACCCACCGACAGGTCTTTTTTCTTTACTATCTCTCTGTCATTTCTATCTGTCTGTCATGCTGTTTTCCAGCTCTAAATGAGGGTTTTTGTGTGTCACTGTTTTTCTCTTTTACTGAAATGAACTTGCAGATTCATGCCTTTGCATTTATTTTGCTGTCTGAACTTACTATTTCTTTGAAAATACTCCTATGGATATTGGTACTTTTTCATTTGTCTAGATAGTTGTAGATTCATAAGTTCACAGGATAGTATAAGACTTTATAGCCTACTCTCTGTCATTTGTAGATCTCACCATTTTTATGAAGAACGTGTTTTGCAGATTAGAAATACATCTTTACAACTGTTATTGTGAGTCGATGTCAGAGCCCTGTAATGTGTCCTTTTCTTTAGTTGTGAGTGGGTGGTTGGGTGATGAATATTTGGTGTGGTTTGCTCGTTCCTTCCTATCAAACATCTGTCGTCCTTTTTTCTCCTTCCTTTTTTGTGTTTGTTTTTCTTTTGTAACAACTCTAATTTTCAGCTTTTTTTATATGACCTTATTTTGGTGCAAATGCAGTGAAACTTTTACTGAAACAAAATTAGTTGTGACTGATCACATGAACTTGATATGAAAGAGAAGAAGCATCGTGGGAATATTTGAGGGTGCCTTGGGTGGATTTATTTCTAGTTCTTCCCTATTTCACTGATTTAAAGGGGAAGATACAAGGTTCCAACATCGAAGTATTGATCTATGAATTGGTCTGACATGGGCTTACTTGCCAACAGCGAATATTTATGTGTGCGTATTCTATTTTCTGCTAAAAACTGTATTGCTTCAAAAACATGGAATATACGCCATAAACACAATGGGAGCCTCCTTTGTTTAGACATTTTTAACGCAAATGTCATTCTTTAAAGCAGACAATAAATACTGTCTTGTGTGTGAAATTATATGTGACTCACTTGTGTTGTGGTGGGAAAATCTTACAAATTCTGCTTGTGGAATATACTACTATATATCTCTAGTTTGAATAAAGATTCAACTGAACTAGCAGGACTAATGGCGTTACTCAAAAGAAGTCGGATAACACACTTCCTTCGTACCCCTTATGTGATGTAAGAGGGATTGATTCAACAGATGGAAGCTTCAACAGAATAAAAACTACGACCCTTCCTTCCCCCACGAAGTCAAGTTTTTGATAAAAGTTCACAGACTTAATTTTTTCTGGGTTGGTTCAATTAGTTCAGTATGCAATTTTCCGAAAAGTCGGGATTGTATGTCTATGAGAGAGATGTCCCCTCACATCTGTCATAATTGTCCTAGAGTTTGGTGCCGAATGATGTTTGTACATTTAGTTTAGCATCTTCCATTTTTCTGTATGGTATCCCAGGTATATCCACAGCCCTTCTTGTTCATGTTCAACTTGTCAGTCAAAAGTTAGTCCCTCATGTTTCCTTTCTGATAGTGATCCAGATTTCATCAATACCGGTAGGTGCTTAAGTTGTCGACTCTGGCATGGTCAGTAAATATGATGACCTGGCTTTTGATGAGAGTTTGTGTGTGCGTGTTCGTGCATTATTATATCATTGCATTGGTGTGTCTTTGTGTGAGAGAGAAAGAAAGAGAAATTTGAGACTGACTAAAATCTTTCATTCCCATTCTACAATTGACCAGAGTGGATAAAATGTTTTCCTGTTGGCGAATAAAACTTTTTAAAAAGGTTCATGTTACTTTCCCACCGTGACTTGTTACATCCTCACAAGAGAAATCAAAGTTTAAGTGACATTATCAAAATAGACGGTGGATGAGTGGCCATTGCAGGATCTTTAGAGAAACTTGGGCAGGTTGGTGTTTCACATCACCTAATATGATTGCCAATATCTGCAAGATCTTTTGCTGAGGCATGTATCATTTGTACATGATTTGTTGGAGCCAGTATTTGGTTATATTATGTGATGCTGCCACGATGCATGCCTGACACTGACTACGCAGAATGGTTTTTCAAGCTGAGATCTTTCACATGTTAACACTCTTGGTGCCTTGTTCTCTGTTTATATTTGATATTCTGCAGAATGTTCTGTATCATCTTTCATATATTCTGTCTGTTGTTTCTGTCTCTTCTTTTTTTCTACATTTCTAGCTCAATATAATCATCATTGTGTCAATTTGTTTCTCTGCAGTTTAAACGAACTTGAGATGCACACTTGAGCAGTTTTGTGAATATTGAGGGGAGTGGAGAGCTCTCTGTCAGAACAAGAAGTAAATTTTTATACCATTATGATTGTGTGTGTTTGTTGAGTTTTATTCTTTGAGTTGAATTATTGTTGAATTTGAAAAGTCTTGTTGGTGTCTTGACCTCACGGGTGTATGTTTTCAGTTCCCCCCAAAAATGGGGATACTCCATAAACTAAACTATGATATTTTGATACTTTGTGGGACTGAGATGAGCCGAGTGAGAGATAAAAATATTTCAAAGTAATGAGGTGTACCACTGTTTTTGATGCATGTTTCCTGTAGGGACATTCATTCACAGTACAGTTTGAGTTTTCCAGCTATCTAGCTACATGATACCATTTTTCAATTGAATTGAATTCAATTTTTTTCCTAGATACTAGTTGGTCCATTGTATAATCTGAGTCTTAAAACCTTTCAACAGACATAGGTCCATCTCGCCTACCTTGCTTTGTCTGTATTGTCACTCACTGCACAATATAGTCAATGCAAATAAATTCAACCAGTTGGATGTAAATATAATGTGTCACACCTCAGTGACATAGGGCACTTGTCAGTATTTGAGCACAGAGTTTGTGATATCATCTTACTTAAATCTCGTTACAGTGAAAACCATGGACCATATACAGTCGAACCTGCCATGACGGCCTCCTCTATAAATATGACCACCTGTACATTTCCCCCCTATCGTTTTTTCTAATTTAACTGTGTAAAACGGGCACCTGTCCAACGCGGCTGCGGCACCTTATTTTACCACACAACCCCTATAACACCAAACAATAACACCTGTCTTAAACGGTCACCTTAGTGACTCCATTACGTTTTGTCATAAATCATGCATCGGCCCTTGGCGTTGTGGGCGAGCCGTCATTCATAATCCATTCCCCTGTCGTTATTGTTAGGTAGTCTCTCCAACCGATCATGTTGCGTAGGCCCCTCCCACTGTTGACCAATAGGAAACACATTTTCAGCTGCAGGTGAGGAAAGCATGTGATCCCTCATAACCGACACGTGTTTTCAGCACGTCTCGCTCATCATAACCCATAAGCCCCATCCAGAACTCGTACACCAATAGTAAGTGAGAGGAGTGGTCACTGTTTACCCAATCTGTAACAAAGTAACAATGGACGTCAACATGAACTTGTGACAGAAGCGTCGCTCGTTCTCTGTGTGGTGGCGACCCATGTGTTTGTTTTACCATAGCACTCGGTCCTTGTCTGACACATTTTGTTTTATTGTCACTCTTGCACAAAAGCAGCAACAGAAAAAACCCCCAAAAAACCCCCCAAAACTGAGCGAAAACAACTACAATAACAACAACAATGCGGCTACCTTTGGTTGGGACCTCAGAAAGGAATGGGTTTTTTTTTTCTTCATCTTGATCAGTCCTGCCTAAGACGGCCACCTGTCTTATACGGCCACTTTTCTCCTTGACAATAGGTGGCCGTCTTACACAGGTTCGACTGTAGAACAGGCCCGGTAATAACGGATCCGATAATAACGGATTTTTAAAATCCTTGTTTTTTCCTACTCTTTGTCTCTGTTAAAAGCTATCGGCAATAACAGGGCCTCACTGGATCTCAAACAATTATAGCTGGGACAAAGGCTCGTTAACAATGTGTAAAAAGTGAGAGAGAGTGAGTAACACAGTGATGGAGCCCACACAGCGGGAGAAGTGAAACAAGAGGGGGCTGCGGTGTGCTGCAGACTTTGATCTAGTCCTAAGCCTGGCTACACATACGCGCAATGTGTCATGTGCAGGGTACATGTGGCAAGGGAAACTACCCATGAATGAATACAGCTGGATTAGTCCACAAATGCTTACTTCCCTTGCATTTCTGATTTAACAGGCACCTGATATAACATGACTTTTTCTCTGGTCCCACCATCCCTGTTATTTCAGGTTTCCACTGTATTTTTTTTTCTTCTGGCAAAAACAAACAAACCCCAACCTTTCAATCTTGAATGATGAGATATCTTTCATTGAAGGAGGTGATGGGTCACTGGAGAGGTAATATTAGCGGAAAATGGCTGCCAAAATGTGGTGACTTTCACAGGAGTCTGCCAAACTAAGGGATATGTGAGGCAGTGTGGTGAAATCAGACGCTCGTCAAAATAATGAAAGTGAAGAAAGTGGTAATTTTTCCGCAGGTTTGGGAATTTTTGTAAGTTTTGCTTTTTGGCTCAACACCTTTCATGTTCTTTAAAAAACATCTCTTTTTGGGGTTTTACTGAAAAACGTTGCTTAAAGCCACAAAAATTGTAAATTTTTATTTTCTGCGGACTCTCAAGCTAAGGAAATAACTTAACCTTTGGTGGCCATTTTCTTGCAAATTTGACCCCTGAAACCAGGTGACCCCCACCTCCTTTAATTGCCAATATCTTGACTTGTATCTAAGGTAGATAAATGGATATTTTTTTCATAGAAACCTCGACAAATGAGCAAGGTTGAAGTTGAAGATGATACCAATAACCCCAAATGCCTAAAAATTGACGAGAACCTGATTCCACCACATCGTAACTCATAGTTTAATCAGTGAAAATCACTGGAGACAAACTCCAAAATTTCACCAAGCAGGACCTTCAAAGCGCAAGGGTAGGACTTCTCTTTAACCTCAATCCAACACAATATCTCTACAGAAGTAAGGAGAATGTTGAGGGGTGGGATAAAAACTGTATTTATCGATCTGGAGTTGTCAAACATTGGCAAGTTGAAACATGCTGCCATCCAGCACACAATCCAGTTGCTAGACAAAGGAATTTAATTAATTTAAAACACCTTGTGGGTGATGGTCCTCTGGTGTGGTCTGCTCCTTCTATCCTACAAAAAATTTATTGACCTTATCTCTCCTCCATTTCTTAGTATATATATATATATATATGTTACTCTTAGTTCCTAGGAAACATCTCTAAACTTGGGCACTTATATTAGTTATATGGCCTATTGTGTTACAAGCAAAAACCGTGTAAACCAAGATGTTTCAATTGCCCGCGCGAGACTTGGACGCTACCTGTAGCTAGCGTGTGACGGCTCGTGATACGAGCATAAACAAACCTTCTGGCGTTCTTGAGTTGAATGTGTACAGTTTTGTCTGCGGGCACACACACACACACACAGAGAGAGAGAGAGAGAGAGAGAGAGAGAGAGAGAGAGAGAGAGAGAGAGAGAGAGAGAGAGAGAGAGAGAGAGAGAGAGAGAGAGAGAGAGAGAGAGAGAGAGAGAGAGAGAGAAGGGGGGGGGGAGAGAAAGAGGGAGAACGAGAGAGAAAGAGAGAGAGAGAGAGAGAGAGGGGGGGGGGAGTGGAAGTGTTTGTTATTATAATAAGAATTATCGTTTCCTGTCATTTTCTACCTGCGAGAGTTTTCAGGCTGACTCGGTGCTATACAGTCATTATTGTACACATATGACCATAGTCCCACCTTCTGTTTCCCATCTCTCACCTCTTGTTTCCCATGCACCGCATCCAATTTTCCATATCCCATATCCCAACTTTAATTCTGTAAGCGTGCTTCGTTTTCTTTCATCTCATGAGTTGGAACGCCTGAAGCAGGCCAAAATATTAAATAATTTTTATACATAACTGTTGCCAATGTCCAAATCAGATGTGCTGTTCAAGCACAAGTTTTCAACAGTTTCATTTAATACTGTGTTATTCGGAATAAAGGTTTGGTCTCCATGAGATTTCTTTGATGTGTCCTCTTCGGAAACGAGTTTATTTTTTTACTTTCCCTAACTTACAATTCACCCAGCACGACTACAGGGGTCCAAAATATAATATTAAGATGTCACTTTGGTCAGAATCAAACTTTCGTGGTGGGTGCTCTGGAGTGGTTTGCTTCTTCTTTCCTATCAAACATATGTCGTCCATATCTCCCCTTCTTCTTTTTTATGTTTGTTACTCTCTTGTAACATCTCTAATCTTCTGGCGCTCATATGACCTTGTGCAGTTGCGAACAAATCCTCTACTAAAAAAACAAAACAAAAAAAACTTTCAGGTAAAAAATGAAACAATCTGACAAGACTGATATATATCAAAAACGCTCCCTCTCTCGAGAGGCAATGTGTCTCTCTTTACACAGCACCAGTCGTCGTATTTCAAGGACCCAGATGATGGGGAAACTTAGTTGTTTGATATAAGAAGAGACAAGAACAGTTTGAATCTGCAAGACATTATAAAAGATCGCGACATCAAGTCGTAAAGAAATTGTAAAGCAAGACTGCATTGTGTCGCCACAATACCTTCACTTCTTAAGTTGGACACAGAACTTTACTCTCATAGCAAGTAATGTCATTATTTGTCTGGTAATTCTGTAATTAATATGATGATGTCAACCAGGGACAACAAACCAGACTAACTACGACACTATAACCATCGTTGCGATATGAAATGACTGGATAGCAAACAACATGAGTTCGATCGGTGAACATCTTGCTGTTTAAATAATTAAATAAGGTTCCTCGTTTTGGTTTGTTCATTTTCAGTTTTCCTTTCTTCCTTCTCATCCACCTACTCAACTCCAACTCTTTCCTTTTTTTTTCCTTTTCGTTCTTTTTGTTATCTTTAATTAGACAATCTCAGTTCTCGTTCCATAGACTTAGTCTGTACCATTCTGTACCTCCTCTTCTCCCCCCCCTCAAACAAAGTTGTACATGTACACACACACACAAACACAGGCACTCACACAACCAAGCAATCAGCGATGAAACCAACCTCCCGTCGCCTAGTGACGCAGCCCATCGCACACTATGCGACAAAGCGAGCCCGCCACGACGCGGACAAAAGCCCAAAGAGCAAGTGCATTGTCTCGGTATTTACAATCTCTGTTATAAGTGCAGTAAAACTCTCCTAAAACTAAACTAAAACACTAAATCGTAGAGGATAAAAATGATGTGGATGTTTATTTTAACAATTTGAGAACTTTTGCATAAATGGTACCAAAAGAAAACCCCTGTAGAGAGAAAGTCATTCAATATGAAAAATCAAAAGTTATTTTAAAAAAAACAAAACGTTTGATCATGACCAAGATCTCACAAAACTGAAACACACAGTAGGAATTGACTCGGTAAGTTTTTATAAATTTATGCAATGCCAACACTATAGCTATAATCAAAGCTTGATTACCCATGACAAAAATCAACATCACTTTTTAGGTTGAGTATAAATTACTTGTTCATGTGATGTTCTGCCAGGAACTTCACAGAAGCTTACCTGTGACATATTATCGCCTCAGAACTATTTAGTCCAAAGTGTACTCAAGTAGAGTTTGAACAAATAGTTCTGAGTCCATGATATGTCCAAAATAAGAACCTGAGTGGTGTTGCATAAAAAAAATAAAATATATATACATAAAACTAAAACCTATTGGAAAAAGGAATGGGATCTGGACATGACTGTCAAACAGTACCAACCATGAGACAGATTGTGATCTTAGTCTAACATCAACATACAGAAATTAGGTTTACCGAAACAAATGTTCAAGCTTTGACCTCCATGAGTGAATAATCATAGAAAGACAAATCCTGTTTACAGAAAGTGCAGCATTGGAAACAAAACAATCAAGATGAAGAACAGTTAAGTTTATGCTGTGAAATTCCAAGTGGAATCACTCTTGCAATCATCATATCAAAATATAATAATTGTGTTGTTGCCACAACATGTTGCCATAATTCTTATTCCATTAGTGACACAAGTGGGTCATTGTCCTTTCACTTTCCCCCTTGCTATTTCTGTTATATTATTAATATTATTATTATGCTTTACTTCTTTCCAATGGAAAGCACATTCTCAAAGCACACCTCAAATCAGCACAACCAAATAACATAACACAAAAGTATGCTGCGGGTAGTTGGTGGGTGTCCTGGTAGATCCTACTACTCTTTCCTTCTAATTCTAATATTTCCTGTCTGTGAGTCTTACTTTTTCCCTGCACCTAATGACCATGATTGTGTCGATGCGCTTTTCTTTGTGCATGCAAACAAAAGTATGCCCTTTGTATTTGAGTATGTGACCGCAGTTTGTTCAATTGTTCCCAAAACGGGCTACAGAAGACTGCCATGGAAAAAGGGAACTCTGAATCAATTTCTCTGGTAAGTCTGGATGCAAGGCTATCACATACATCGCGAACCATGTAGGCCTATAGTGAATGGATTTTTATATCCCTAATTTTTTCTTGTACATGTATATTCTATGTATTCAAAACAATGTACAATACAAAATTCGTACACAATGAAAAGATTTCCATGCGATTATGTGCGCGCTAGGCTGTATAGTAAAGCTGGATAAAGCTTATAAACTGCCATGCTGTTTTGTAAGCTAGGAAAAGAGAAGCAGAAACAATTCACGTGCTGAAAAAAACATGGGAGTTCTATATTGATTACAAACCAGACTTTTGTTGGTATCGTGTGAGAGTTATTTTGGACATTTGTCTCTATGGAACTGTCTGTTTCATAGAGATCAGAACATCACGCTATCTCTACAACATTTAACTTGAGTCCCACTCTTATAGCTCCCTGGTATGTTCATGAATTATTGAGGAAACACTGTAAAATTATAATTAATAGTAAGCACAACCCCTACCCCCCATCCTAAATCAGGAATTGAAAATTTTGAAACAACAAAAACAGGAAAAGGGCTTACTGGACTTGGTCTGTACAAATCAATGACCACAAAATGCTTACTGCATTCCACAAGGTAACAGATGAAACAATGAAAACTATACAGAATAAGGAGTTGCATTTCTTTCTTCTATAGCGGTGGTGTAATGTAAGTATTAAGTTATTACTATATTGGCACTTCACATGTAAATGTCATTGCGTCTGTGGAAATGAGCAAGAGAGTATAAAAGAACATTATGATCAATGTATTTTTAAAAATTGCGTTCATTTTACGAGGTGATTCTTTATTTTTGCATTGACCATACCTGTGATCATGCAGTAGAAAAAGCCTCGAGCTTTAGTTTCAAAGGAAGCAGCTGGAGATTCCAAATCAAATAGTTATTACAATTATTAATAAAAGCCTATAAGCCTCACTTTAAAAAGGAGTTGCAGAAATCTACCTTCCAAGTACCACCCAGACCCTCTGCATTCTTAATAATGAAGGCACATGAACATCTAGTTATGAAAAGCTGAGGGCAGAATTAGTTTAGAAATCTGAAGTTGACATTCTGATGAACATGGGCAGGAAAGAAATTAAAAAAAAAAAGTGTAAAGGAGACAGGACAAAGGAGAAACAAATATTCCATTCTGTGTGAGGCATGGTCACATCTATCACATTTTTCTCTTGATCAGAGAGAGCAAATTTTTTAACAGGACGACAAAAGTAATATCACTAAGTGAAAAAGTAGGTGAAGGGAGACTGGGGAGCAGAACTACAGCTTCACTGTACACTAGCTTGGAATAATTTCCCGCAGCTGTATTGCTTGAGGGTGTAACGAGACATCTGAAGACGGGAGGGAGCTGGAGGTTCTGTTCTCAATCTGTCCATTTCTTTGGTGCCCATATTCAAACTTAATCCTGAGTTCTCCAATGTGACAACGAGGTAAAATGTCTGGTATCCATTCGATAATGAACGGCACTGGCTCCTTCTGGTCTGCTGTTGGTCCTGAAAATAATATGTGAAAAGACATTGTAATTTGGAAAATATCCTTCTCACGGTACTGATATGGTATAGTAGTATACAGTGGAGTCCACTTATATGAATCTAGAAATAACTAGAAGTCTGTTATAAAGACACTATTCTAAAACACCATTTTTTTCCTTCTTTATCTTTGTAAATTAAATACTGCTATAGCGCAATCGGAGAAACACGCGAGTCGGTTATAGCGGAATATTGCTGCTGCTGTGCACAGCGCACAGGCCAATTATATATAAAACCTCGCCACTTGAATAACTTGGTGATCTAGCAAAACAAAGAATAGCGAGCTCATGTGTGCCAACAATGAAGGCCGGAGGGAACGAGTGGGGGGGGGGGGGGTCATTTGCAGACAAACAGAACGCATCGCGTGATAGGCCAGCCTAGTCTAGATTATCTAGGCCTACAATGCTTCTCACTTCTCCGATGCGGGGATGGAGAGGTCACAGAGCTGTGATGGATGGAGCGAGTGTGAGACGTGTGCAAGCAGATGGAACGCACCACAGAATTTCTACTGACAGTGTCATGAACATGAAAGACAAAATTATTGCTCAAACTAAAAGTAAAACAATAACTTGAAAGGCTTAAGTAGACTATTCGGTGTGAGAGGTGTAAGAACTGTGGGAGGGCAAGAGGCAGTAACACTGAAAATCTGCCAGTCCAGAACAGAAAGCTACAATATTGTTCTAATTTACTATCACCCAACCAATGAAACGCTAACACTTTATTTCAATGACACTGCAAATGTTTAAAGACTCCGAAATGGACATTTATGGTTAACACGTTAAAATTTCGCTGAGACCAGAATGATAGGACAATCAGATTGAATATTCACTCCATTTTCACCAAGGTCAATACAGTCCATTTTATTCACAAAGCGAGGGGAAACTATTTGGACTTGATTATAAGTCCTGCCACTTTAAATGAGAACTCCTTAATTCAGAACATATTTTTTTGTCTCATTCTCAAACACCGTGATGATGAGCACATTCTATGGTACCATATATAGTAGTAGCGTCTTTTAAAGTGTAAAATGCCTTCACTTAGACAGTTGAAATCATATGAGGTAGCTAGCAAACAGATACTTACCAACTTTAAGGTATGTCTTCAGTTCAAAGGGCCGGATTGGCAAATGATTCTTTATCTTTGAAGCATCTCCATACACATCAGGACGAGGGGCTTCATAAGGATCATAAGTACCATCACGATTCTCAACAAAACTTCGAGATAAATCCAATGTTATCTGTGTGAGACAACAGAAAAGAAAAAGAAAAAATGAAAGAACAAGCAAGGTATCATCAACTGATGACCATGGGTCCAGTATTTAAAAAAAAAAGAAATGGCTTCAGTATTTTAAAAACATGAAATGGGAAAAATAAATTATTCCAATAGCGACCTGCATTTAAAAAGTAATCTCTAAACTAAAGAAAGGATATGACACCAAACTAAAGAAAACCATTTCTAGAACAATTAACAACTGACAACAGATGCCAGTTTTTAGAATCATTATTTCAAAGTCAGAAGTGAAAGAGCTAACAAGTCTAGATCTAGTCGTAGCAATATATATTTCCTCCACCAATGAAAAGCTTGCAGGATTTGACCAGCTATAACAAACAACTATACTATGCATAAATGTAATTAGAAAAACCAACTGTTGTGTCCCTTACATCCTGTGAGTCAAAGATCTGTTTGACTTGCATAATGTTGGTGATGTGCCATGTGTACTTGGTGAAGTTTCCCAGCGGAAGAGCCTCCTTTCGAACAAAGCTGGTAATGTAGTTAGGAAGCCTCTTTTTCCTTGTGCCTGTAGATATCCTCTGCTGGAGACAGTCAAAGAAGACTTGTGGAGCATGAAACACTAGAGGGTCTGGCGTACCTGTTGCAAAAACAAAGAGCAGAGAAATACAATGTTAAGAGACACAGTTAGATCAGCTGGGATGGAAAAAAGTACACAAAACAGACAAGACAAAGCGTTTGTGAAAACTGAAACATGGCTAAAATAAGAATTCAAAGCATCCACATAAAACGACTTCTTTTACAATTTTCTGCTTTATGACTACTGAATGCAGCTTAAAAACTCTGCAATATATAATAGAACAGCGCTATTACAGTCTTTATTTAATGGCACAGCTAAAATAATTTAAACAGACAACTACAAAAAAGCATGAACCACATTCAGATGGTTGAGATTTTCATGGACACAAAATAACTATACATAAACCTACCATGAAATATATTTCTATATGTGACTTCAATAAAGGGAAGGCTTGCTTTACAATAAAATAATATGTGAGGCAGCGTGGTGAAATCGGGCGCTCGTTAAAATAACGAAATAGGAGAAACATGCATTTTCCCTTCAGTATGGTAATTTTTTATTGAATTTTTGTTTTTTGGCTTATCACTACTGTCGTCCAATTAAGAACACATTTCTGGGTGGATTTTATTGAAAAACATTGACAAAAGGCCCCCAAAAATGTAAGTTTTCAGTTTCCACAGACTATCAAGATATGGAAATAACCCAACTTGGGCGGCCATTTTCTAGCTAATTCTAATTTTGAAACCAGGCGACCCCGCCTTCTTCAATCTCAAATACCTTGACTTCTATTCAAGATGGATGGACACTTTTTTCACTGATAGCAAGACAACTGAACAAGCTATAAGAAGATACCAATAACTCCATACGCCCAAAAACGGACGAGTGCCTGATTTCACAGCATTGTATGAACCTTTCTTCCCCTTTGCAGCTTTCAACTCAGTTGAAAATAGGTAATGTCTCCAGCATCAGCATGAAGACTACTTGTAGGAGAGCTGAATGAGATTGGCAAAAGAGAGTGAGACTAGAATAAAGAATAGACACAAATTAATATGGAATTAAGACATTTTATTATTCAAGACTCAAGGGCAGTTGATTACCTACCTCGACAAGTTCTTCAGTTTGTAAACCTGAATTCCAGCTGATAATTTTACATCAAAACAAAACCTGAGCTAGAAATCTATGAAACACAAATGAAGGCAACAAAGCTTGACAGAATGTAATCCACCAGCTCTCTCCTGTTATAGAGATGAAAACCCCACTTCTTTGAGATCATTATAAAAAATAATTGTTTACCAGAGAAGCCGTAATGCATAGTTTGGTTGATCCTCTCTGTGACACTGGCCAGCCACTGCTGGAAGCTGATGGAAGCTGTGTTCTCATCCACAGTGCTCTGGTAGGCTGGTAGAGGGAAAGATGAGATAAGACAAACATGATTGATCGTCTACAGAAAGAAAACGACAGAGCGTTTTTCCAGGCTTCTTAACAACATATACGGGATATATATATTAGGTACCCCAAACCCCCGCCTCTGCGCAGTTGAAAGCGTGCAGAAAGCTCGAAATTTGAACATTTTCAATCAACCATAACTCATCTCCTTTGACACTAATCTTCACCCCGTTTCGAATTAAGTCAGTTCAACTATTGTTTTAGCTAAAATCAAACTATTGTGGACAGCATGCAACGAGATATTGTATGGTAAACTATCTAAAAAGGTCACCAAAATGCTCTGGAATGCGTTTTCCGTGGCCATTTTAATGCCGACCGCTGCAACAAAAATCAAGGGTGCTTCATAAAATGCCTTCGCGCTAAGCGGCTATGACTGCTATCGTCATGAAACAAAAAGTGCAAGAACGAGCTTGGAATAAGCTTTCACACAGTACCTAGCGCTTGCAGCTAAAGTTAGTTGTTGACCCAGAAATGTCGGGAGTTTTGTAACCCTATTTTTAGAATGGAAAACTCCGAGTCTGACCAATGATTGATCGAAAGAACCCTGGACTACACAAAAGTAGAACATGTCAAGGGAATTGTGTGGAAAAATGACTACGATTGGTCCAACAGCCGTTTAGCGCTGTTTGTTTTTGTAAACACACATGCTTGTCCTCTCTCTGGCGACACGCTGGATTCAGCAATGGCGAAGAATTATTTACAAGCACCTATTTTCAATTATGCTCTATTCACGTACATAAGGGCATTTCAACGGCTGCATTGTGCTTTCAATCATGGATAATATGGATATTCTGGAGATGTGTGATAGGTTGATTTTGTTAATTAGATTTGTTATAGTGTTACATAGTTCTTCATAAAGTCATCAACCTTTGCCTGGCCTAGATTTACGGCTTGAAGCCGAGATCGCAAACATGGTAATGGGTGGTCTCATTCAGAGCATCCTGTAATTAAATCAGTAGCCAGTATTGTTGTAAATCTGGTTTGGATAGAAAGATAAGAAGATTAAATTTCTTGAAAATATGGTGAAATCTAAATCAATTAGTTTTTAGTAATTCAAAATTAGTATTATTTTCTGATCACGTGACCATTACTTTCTATCAATGATTCCGTAATGGTGACCTCTTTTTAAAGATCATAACAAGCTTGATGAACCCGTATGTGAAGGGGGTGCAGCCGGCATTTGTTCATTTGCGAATGAATATATCTCTTGCATATCGCGAATATCTGACAAAATCTTTGATGACTAATCCATTTAATTGTTTTCTTTTCCCGATATATATTTAGACTCATGAAACAAGTACCGGCACCAATTGAATTATTTTTATATATAACTTTTAGAGGCTGGTTTACTGCTGAAAATGGACTCTCCTACTCGAGGGCTTCATTCATCATAATTTGTGATTATCAAATAAGTCGGTGCCTTTAGAATTGCTAGATCTATTCCTGAATAGATCCAATTTTTTTAGACCAATGAGCCATGGGGAATTTGAACTTTGTTGCAGATCCAACTTGTGTCTCCTCCACCCTCTCCGCAATTATCTAGGCCCTTGATTTGAAAATGGGCTCTGCCTGGGCGGGAGCTTCTGCCCAATTTTTTTATTTTTGAAAAAAAAAATCGTTTTGAGACTTTAAAAAATGGGCTATGCCTGTGCTGGTGCTTCTTCCTAATAAAAAAAAAAAAAAAAAAGTAATTAGATTTGAAGAGTTTTTGTGTATCGTTGAATATTTACTTTATAAATACCTCATTTTATCATAGAAATGAATGCAGAAATGGATTCCTGGCCCAAAAACACATAAAAGTAAAGCTTTAGGGAGTCTTTCTTGTTGTTCTATAGAAGTTATAGATGATTTTGTTGAAATTATGCGGAATATTTTCTTATTTTTCCTCTTATCTAACCTCATATCAATGTAATGCTTCATGTTACCACAGAAATGATAACAGAAATGAATTCCTGGTCCAAAAGTACATTGGCATGGAAAGTATCATACATTTACCATGATTTTAGGTAATTTAATTCAGAAAAGTTTTCAGGCCATGTGTACCGTGTTGTGATTTTCTGTTTATAACGCAAAATTGGCAGATGTCCCATTTTTGAGGTTGCATAACTGATTAAATTAAAGTGCCAGAACTCTGAAAAAATTGGGCTATGAATTTGCATTACTATGAATATGTTCTGTAAGTGCCATTTCTTTTCAGCAATAACTTTCCATTTTATTGATGTCTGAAATCAGTCTTTTTAGCATTTTTGAATTAACATTATGCATCAAGGAGTAATTTTTTCCAATTTTAAGTTTCAGTATTGGCTTATTTAAACTCTGATTGTCCTAATCTTAGTATTTTGCATAGTTTATGCTGGCACCTGTTGAAACAAATGATAATACACACTTTATGTACCTCAATAAATTTTCTGTGAACTCACAAAATCATACTTTTTTACCTGAATTTAAAGTTGCCAAAAATGTACGATGTCCACGAATTTCAAATGCCTGTTATTAATTTAATTTATTGTCCAATTTCTATAATTCAAACAACAAAGTTCATGGTTTGAATAGTTTTTTATGATGCAAAAAACGTATGTTGGATCAAAGCACTTTGAAATTTTGGTTTGTGGTACCTGAAAGGTGATATATCTGTCTATAACTCTTGATCTCTGGAGGGGGTTTCCCACTTAACCAGAGCCCCCTTTTGGCATCTGAAAGTGACATTATGTCAATAAACCGGTCATTAAACAAAAGAAATTACCTTATTTTGATAGTTCTTCATCTAATGGAAGATCTCATAGTAAGAGAGCCATGTTTTTGGCATTTTCTGAAAATTAACATTTGACCATTATCAAATGGTTCACTCAATCAGTCATTTTAAAGTCAAAATCTACACTCATGGAGATTACTTCATTGTCTTTGTCAACAGATTGACCATCACAACGTCGTTTGGCTGAACTGAAGTTGTATGCTCCACTATCATACATGATGCAGGAGTAAAAAGTTTAAAAAAAAAATTTTTAAAAAGGAAAAAAACTTTTATTCGGAATTCATCCCTGTGGAGAAGTTGGGGTTAGAAGTACATTATTCTGAACACTTTCCGGACGCATCGCCGTGTGATAGGGTGCATCAGTATTGTTTCGTTTTAACATGATCCGTCATTTATAATTACTTTTTATTGTTTTTGAAAACTTGGAAAGGATTTAGGAAATGAAAACAACTAGTTTCACTTTGTCAAAGCCTCGGTTAGGCGAAAAACAGTGAATTAGTTCTTGTCGTCTTGCATCAACAAAACGATGTAACCAGACTCAGTGTAAATATCATAACTCAAAACAAAATTGGAATATTGCTTTCAAATAAAAAGCTGCACATTCAGAAATTTACGAATTATGCTCTTGGCCTGTATATGATACATGTTTGGTGAATGTAATTTTTTACGTCAAAATTTTTTTTTCTTATCGCCATCTTCATTTCGAACCCTTGTAATGCATACTTAAGTTCAAAATTAATCCTTGTTTCATGTTGGAATGTATTCCTCATTCAATTTCCTTCAATTTGATATATCATATGTTACGTTTTGAGTGATGGTTTTGCTTATGTAAAGTCATTTTGTACGCCACCTGTGTAGCCAACTCAAGCCACAAGTTATTAATTATGTCTAGACCCAAAAAAAACTACGTCCAGAAAGAGTTAAAGAAGACTAGGATTACAATCAAGAAGTAACTCCTATAAATGGGCAACATATCATTTACATGGGAAAAAGATAAACATCAAAGTCCATTGCACCAAGTAACCATTAAAAGCTTATCCTATTGTCAAGTTGGCCCTATTTTGTGCATTGCAAGTGCAGATTGCTCACATTTAATCCCCCCCTTTTACTGAAGCCAAAACATTTTATTTCACACCAAAACACTGACACAAATCTAAAAGAGCTGGCATCTCTTCAACTCATATTGTTCCACAAACTTAGAGCAAAGGGAATCCCAGTATGCCGGCAGTCAGGGACGAATTGTGAGCTTGAAAAATCCCGGAGCGCTGTGCACAATTTGTTACAGAAAAATCTTCAGCCTTTCTGTCAGGAGCAAAATGATGCCCCCTTAAACATGAACTGAAACAAATATACCAATTTCTGTTTTCCTATCTTTTGTTCCTAAAAAAAAATACAAAATCAAGAACAACACCCCCCCCTAAAAAAATATTTTAAAAAACCCCAACCAAAATCAAACAAACAAAAAATAACAACAACAACAAAAAAAAAAAAGGAATTTAGGGAAAAAATTCATGGAATGCTCATCTCAGAGTGAATTATTCAGGGCTACACCCGACCCCACAACACACACTCACAAAGCTTTTTCGGTGTGGATTTCTGTGTTTGCTGTTGTGCCGGTTGCTGTTGCGTCAACTGTTGCTGAGGCTGTTGCTGCTGCTGGATTTGGAACTGAGTTGTGTGTGAGGATTGCTTCACCGAGGTGCTCTGTAGTGTTGACAACACAGCCGTAGCTTGAGATGGCTGCTTCTGTTCCTGTAGAGTGAGGAGGGCACTACTGGCCTGGGCTGAAATTATAAAAGAGTGTTATGTTGACTATATTTTCAGTTGTTCTTTTTTTTAAGACAATTAACAAGGGACAATTCTTAAAGTGAAAAACACTGACAACGGAATTAACACACAAGTATAACAAACTTTATAAAAAATTACAACCAAATCTCTTTACACAGATACCACCTGGAGCATTTTCTAAATTCTAGGCATACTGGATCAGTAGACTCTACCGCATAACATATATATATATTTTCCCCTCTTCTAAACATGTTTATTTTTCCCCTGATCTTGCTAATATTGATCTAAAATCTAAATCTACATCTCATCTTTCTTACATCCATCTTAGCAGCTCTAAATTGAGAGTCAACTTTCTGAGATGATTGGTTTAAAAAAAATCTTGTTAGAATTTATCTGGTAATCTTTGTCATGTCATGTCAGTGCCATTATGCCTAAAATATCATACCACACTCTGTGAGTCATGAAATAGTCTTCACAGCTCTCAAATGCACTGAGTGCTCTGTTTTATCACCACTGTGAGGGTTTAATGGGTGAAAATAATTTCACGTTTCTATGGAGCGGAGGTGTTATTCTGATACCATCTTTTGTGTTCTATTTCTACAATTTTGTGGCGTCTAAAAAATGCAAAGAGAGTGACGGAAACCATCATGCTTTTTACTAGTGAAGGGCGTAAAGTGTGACAAATACACTTTACAGGGATGCCAAATGATTTTTGAAAAAAAACATGAAAATGAGCGGAGCATCACACCTCACTGTAAACGAACCTTGTAAAATCTTTAAATGAGCAAACAAAAACATTTCTTTTGCAAGTGTATGAAAAAAAACCAACGTAAAAAGCCAGAAAAACCGGAGAATTGGCATCCCTGACTTTAATGCATTTTTGGGGTAATCTTTTCGAGGCCAGAAACTAGACCTGCATGTGAGCCTCAACCAGATTGTCTGAAAATTTTGCGCAACCCCCCCCTCCCCAAAAGAGCTTTTGTAGGTGTCATAAGGAAGGACTTCTGAGTAACGAGCGACCACCCCAACAAACACAACAAAGAAGAGACCTAACTCTACCCCTACCCCTAGGCCTATCCCAACAAAGAACCTGCAACGAGCCTCATGTGAAAAGGCCAGCAAAATCCAAAATGAAATACATTTTTAAAATTAAAAAACCACACTCCAAAACAAACAAAGCTTACAATGAGCATAATGGCCTACATCTACATATTGCTAGATCTATAATAATAGGGTTTGATGCAATAACACAATAGGTTCTAGAATTGGAATATGAATCCTCCATATAGATCTAGTAAACTAAATAAATCTAGATCTAGATCTTGTAGAACAAGTGAATAGGATCTAGTAATAGGCCTTGAACTAGAAATCCGCATCCGATTCCGAACAGAGGGGCTCAGCTGAGTCTAGACTAGGTCTAGATATCTAGATTCTAAATAAATAAATAATTCACGCACCTGATGAACTGTTTTTTTACCAACATTAATATTACAGCACAACCTATGATAGGGTTTGACAAAATAGAATTGGAATATGAATCCTCCATTGAGGTCTATAATGATCTATATAAATCTAGACCTAGATTCTATTATCTAAGTGAGTCCGACTGGAATGAATCCAAACAATCTGAACAATTGAATTTGTCAACAAAACGAAATTCAAATTGGCTGCTCGAGCACGAAACTGAAAGTAGATAATTTAGGTCGTCGTTCTTTTTTCGTATTCGCATTTCTACTCAGGTTCCGACAATTATGTCAGAAACGCCGACGTCGGCATGAAAACGAAAGTGCCGAAAAGCCGACGGGAGAAAAGGGGGACGCTGGCAGTCGGCCAGGCCTTGTACTTCGCACATTGACTGATACAGGTGGGCCTAGCGATAGCATCGGCCGCCTCGCGGGTCGATTGTCGGATTTCAGACGATTGTCGGCAAACATGCAGGTCTAAGAAACTTCCTATACACGAATCATGAGTTTGTTCCTCATCGTGCCATCACAATTGATACTCATTTTTGCCTTAAGGCAACAGAGGGCACATGATGTCAAAGCACACAGACTGACCAACAGGATCCTCCTTCTTCACTTTTTTATCCGGCGTGACAACTAGCATGTCCTCCTCTGAGATGATGAACTCCATGGTGTCAGCGTCAGCCGGCACAGCTAGACTTTCCTCTATAGGCTGATACATGGTCAGTACCTGGCGGTCAGAGCCCATCAAGGTCACTGTGAGGGGAGAACAGTGGGACAAGTTTGTTAATCGCCAATGTCTGTACCATTTGGGATTTTAAACAAACCCGTACCTAATAATCATTGGGATAAATTGAATATAGGTATTACAGTACCCCCCCCCCCCCCCACACACACAAAAAGGGGGGGGGGGGGGGGGGGGGGGGGGGGGGGGTTGAACAAAACCTATCCAAAGGCTATGCAAGTTTTTATCTCCTTCTATTTACCCTTCTACTCTGCATCTAGTATTTAGCTTACCTTCTTACAGACATGAAAAATTTCAGCAAATAAATCCTTGTTACTGTTGCAGTTCAAAGGAAAACTGAAAAAAGTACATTTCTAGTACATGAAAAGTTATTCTGGGAATAGAGGTGAACACAGTTCCAGGCCATTGACCCTGTGAATGATCTCATCCCATTTATCTTGGGCAGTTTACAAGGGTACTTTGCTGAAACTCTTTTGAATAAAGGAACAGAAAACTTGCATGTTTACATGGAAGAATTAAATGCTTCAAGATGTGGACAACAGACCCGTATGTCATTAAGATTCTTGTCAAAAAGGTATGAGATGGATAAAATACTAAAAACGATATCTTCACACTTCTAAGAATCTACCAGTTGCATGCATACAAGCAGCACTCTTAATTCTGTTAGAATTTTCTTCATAAGGTTTTTGACACTCAAAGTAAAAAATAAAAATAAATACAATACATTAAGAAAAACTATTTTTTTAAAAGACAGAACAAATAAAGACGGGCTCACATGTCATCACAGGCTGGTCAGGGTTCATATATGGTGCAAACTCTTTACTCAACTTCTCATCACTGGCAAATGCACATATACACGCATAGAAATGGACACATCTCTTTGAGACGTCCTCCCTTGCATGTGAATTTCGCATCTGAGGAATGAAACATTTATTATAAAAAGTATGACATTTCTGAAACACAGAACTTGAACTTTACTCATTCAAGTTCAAGTTAACAATACTGCAGTCTGTTCACTGCATATATATGAAATTTATTGTTTGAATTTGAAGCTTGAAGTGCATGTGTTTGTGTTCCACGCAATTTACAGATTGCGCAGCGCGTTTTAACGATTCTATAATAATTGCGCGGCTATCTTAAGATTGGGCTGCATGTTTTAATGATAATTATAGGATCAGTAAAATTTGCAGCCCAAAGATTGCGCAGATCGGTAAATTGCGCGGAACACATGCAAAAGGACAGTGAGACAATTACCATGGAACACAGCTACTTTGTTGTGAAATATCTGCAAATGAAAACATTCCCACTTTTAACAGCTGAATGACTCCCACATAAATTTTTATATAGGTCAAACCAATGCTTAATACTGTCGGACTATCAGAAGTCTTAACAGAAGAATAAGACACAATTTGAAAAATTGCAAAAATTTTTAGCAAAACATTCACTGTTTATCTGCTAAACGTTGGCCAAGGAAATCAACTTTTATTCTAATATTAGCAAACAGTTACAACTCAGTGAACCGCCCAGTCTACAACTTTCAAAATATAATTTGCTCTTTTCAAGACGATTTAACTGTTGTCATTTTATAAGCCAGCTTCTGAGAACATAATATCTAAGCCCAATGGTAAAATACATTCACCGACTCAAGTGATTTGATTAATAAAGCAAAACCTTTCAAATTGCACACATACCTTGAATGTACGACATGAGCACTGAAATTTATAGTCTGGGTGCTGTCTATTCCTGATGGTTTCGAAAAAAGCACAATGCAAAAATCCAAGCGGTTGTTTCGAAGTGATTTTACATTTGACAACCATTATATTCTTAGTCACTCTCTGAACCACCGGTCCTGAGGTTTCTGTTGCAAGCAGCCATATGGACTGCTTCATCTCATTTGAGATCTGAAGATTGTTAAAGATTTCATTCTTGAGGGTGATCGGTTGTGCCTGCTGTGTGCAGTCTATGGCAGAGCGAACATGAACACAAGTTGGCGCTGTCCCCTTCAGTATACTGTTTGGATCAGGGGGAGCATTACGATTACAGCTCTCTACATAGCACATTGCTGCACCTGTCAACATACTATGGTCAACAACAGGAGCAGGATTGCCCTCCATATCTTGGATATATGGCAACTGAACAAAACCCCGATAGTCCGGACCTCTGTCCCTCAACCGCACAGAATACAGCTGGGATGTCGACTCTGTGATAATCTTCACCGATTCAGCACTGTGACCTTTCTTGCGCTCTCGTTCCTTGAACACAACATCACAGTCTTTGTTTTTACAGCTAATTCCTCTGGTACCATTGAATGTGCCACATTTTGGACATTTACGGACACCTCTTAGGGTTGGTTTGCCAAGGTCCCCAAATGGATGTTTACGCTTGTCAAGAATCGTACAAGATTCTGAGTTAGTAGCCATGGTAGATACACCTGAAATGGAAAATAAAATGGAATCACTTTCCTTTGTGTGGTCTGTTTGGTTGTTATTGGTTGTGGCAGGGGGTTAGGCCTAGCCTATTGTATTGTTTGGCTGAAAGTGTGAGAGTGAGTAAAGTGTGAGTCTCTGTTCAGTTGTATTGTTTGCAAGTTAAAAGCAGTCTGAGTTACTATTGGTGAGACTTTAGGTATAGGCCTAGGTGGAGAAAAGGCTAGTTGGAGCCTCAGTTTGTTTACTTGTGTGTAAAGTGTGAGATTCCTACGCATTGAGGCCCCAAAGCTGAGGAAAGGATCACAACACAGCGAGAAACAGGTTTGCTAACTCGAGCTGTAGTAGCAGGCAGACAGAAGTTTAGTAGTGTCGATCATTGTTTTATGTTCCAAGTAACAACACTTTGTGTATATGAACTCATAATATAATAAGACTGACGAATCCTGCTGTTAAATTAATTCAATAACTCTTTCACTGTATGTAATACTTCTGAGCACTTAAAATTTCGAAAATTTCCAAGACACTATAACAGAAAGGGGAAGGTCACAAGGGTGAAATATATACTGCACTATAAGCATAATTTCTCAAATTACTTTTTTGACAGTTGCCAAAAGAGTTTTTTAAATATCCTCTTTAAAAAATGTCAAAGTCAAGCGGTTTCATAAAGACTACGAATGACATGAGCACATGATTCTAGTACGTCACCAAGTGAAGACATTCTGCGATTTAAAATAGATACCAATGGAATTGCCAGAGCCACTACGCAATCTTGTGTTTCATGCTTCTCTCATCACCCACTGTACACGGGAAGTGAGGAAAAATAACTCGATATTGGGGGGGGGGTGCCTTAGCATATTAAATGCATTCTATGTGACATGTACACACAGGTGGCCTACTATGAATATGTGAAAAAAAGGAAAGGGGGAGAGTCAGCTAGGAGGAATGAAGAAACGACTTAAAATTTCCTTCCAAGATCTACTCCAATCTTTTGTGATGTTAAGGGGAACTTACCGGAGAATAAAGAGGGGGAAAAATAAGGAATTGAAATCCTTTCATGCTAACTGGAATTTTAGTAACAGCTTTGTGTTACACAAAGTCTGTACATACGTTTACAGTTGAGCTTGTCCAAGAAGAAAATCTTTCATCTTAGAAGGGGGAATTAAGGGGTTAGGGGAGGGGAGAATGCGCAAAGATAAAAGCTATGACTAGTGTGTGCATGTACAGAGGTAACAATGATTTGGGAAGCTTTTTTGTTGGCTGGCTGTACCATCAGGGTGGCAGACAGTGGTCAAATTTTACACCTCTCTTGCTCTGGCTACCTGTGAAAGATTCTGTGCCAGCTCGTCACTTCACCAATTTGAAGACAAGCAGCAGCAGTCCAATTTCACAGCCACACCACCCTCACCATCTAATCTTGATCGGTCAGGATTCACATAGAGGTTGATAAAAAGCTACCCTTCAGACCACACTCCTTCCTCCCCCTCTTCCCCACCTGCCAGAGCATGGTATAATGATTGTAAAGCTTTCAGCCAGTGGAACCAAACTTAGTTGAGAGTTTTGTTTACAAATGCGGCTCAGCAGCCAAAGCATTTTCTCCCTTTGACAGGTCAAAAACATTGTATCTATCAAAACAGCCGTACTTTGGAAGAGGTGGAGAAGAGCAAAACAACTAGTGCATCCCGATGAGATCACCTGTAATCACAATAGTAGCATAAAAGTCGTGAAAAAAATTTTTTTAAAAAAAATATATAGATTATGTTTCTGGTAAAATATTTTAGTACAGTAGTAAATACAGTTTACTCATTTGAGAAAATAAAATTACAGAAAACAAACAATTATTATATATATGTAAATCTGAGGTGGATCGAAGCTTAGGGAAAGTTAGGCTTACATTATTACCTGAACACATTGTCATTGAGAATAAAACGTTCCAATCTGGAAAATTGCAACGGTCCATAAATTTGGCATAATACAGTATGATTCATTGTTTCATTATAAATCAAAATAAGTAGGCTAACTCTATCATGTCCATTAATTAATCAATAACTTAGATACATATCTGAAAAAACAACAAAACAAAGTGACTATTCGGACTCGAGTCCGATTAGACAAATATTATTCAGACTCTGAATTGAGTCCAGCATGACGTCCCTTCCGACTTCCGACCTTTGTTCTTCAATATTTCCAGCATTTATCACACATTTTGTTATTATAATGATAACAATCGAGAAGTGAGCTTTAGTATCCAGTTACTAGATCTATCTAAACTGGCCCTCCATGCATCATTAGTATGCCCAGAACAACAAAATTGAGTTAACTTTGCTGGTTGACTTTGCTGGGGGCAAAGTTAATTATGTTGACCAATAAGATTGCGCGTAGCGATCACGCACTCCCAGTTTACTAGGGGAAGGTGTTGGGAAGAGGCCACGGCTGTCGATTTTGAGCGATGTGTCTTTAAAAAAAAAAAATTAATTAAAGAAAAACTATAACACAACAAAATGAAAAAAAAAACCCAAGTGGAAAGACAAATGGTGGCGGGAGTAATGATGATGCTGTAGTGGTGGTGGAAAGACCCTGAATTGTCGGTTACTGTGTACCTTTAGACACAGCCAATGGGCAATGAGAGTGCACAGTCATTTGACTTTTGACACAATTACACAGTCAGGTAATTCTAGCTCTAATTCTGTGGTTTTACGTAAAATCCCCCGGCGAGTTACATAAAATATGTAACCTCCTGACACTCACATACTCACTTAGAAGCTGAGTCCGAACCCCCCCCCGAAGTCTGCCCCCAAAAACCAAAACTAATAAATTAAACATAGGAGTGTATGTAGACCCGGTAACTGGGAACAAAGTCACGAAGTATACAGACCCGGTAACCGTGAATAAAGACATACAACATGTATTGTACAGACCCGGTAATGCTGATTTTATAATGAATCCTGGTTGAAGCCGCCGTCTGAATTCAGCCGCATAATATATTCGGTCAATTGCCAAAAGGTGCCACGGAAAAGTGGACATGGCCTTTCACTGGAAATTGGACAAGATCTTGGCCTAGCTTATCCATTGTTTCGTGAGCAGATGGCAGTGCAGCAAGGCTTTCTTTCAGTCCAAGATCAAGTTTATAGAGAGAGAGGAGTGAAAGAAAGAGAGAGAGAGAGAGTGAGAGACAGAGAAAGATGGGGGAGAAACAGAGAGAAAGAAAAAGAGTCAGATATGG